ATGCTGCATGCAGGAGACATTCAGATCTCCAGGTTGCAATAGTGTAACACCTGGGAGCGGCTTTTTTCCCAGAGGGCAGAGTCTTAAAGGTGACAAGTGACATTTGCAATGCTTAGAGGAGGTTTTTATTGGGGTACACTGTGGGCAAGCGAAGGGCAACTGGCCCCTCACCCAGGTCCTCTCTGTTCATTTGAGTCAGCTAAACCCTCACTTTACCATTGCACCAATGTCCTGACACAACCAAACAGCCAGTGCTCTCTCACCTGGGTTTCCAGGACTCAATACTTGAGGTAACTCATGAAGCAGGGAGCAACTGGCCCATGGGGTCGGGGTATTGCCTCTCCCACAATCAGCACTCCCACCCCTGCTACGTCACCCATTCAGGTGGCTAGAATACGGTCAGGACGCTGCAAGGCAGCAAGAGGAGTGTGGTCTAGTGGCCTGAACACAGGCCTGGGCACCAGGAACTGCTCAGTTCTAATCCTGATGCCTGCTCCAGCACTGGCCAGGTTACCTCACTCGTCTGTGCTAAGCAGGATGGCAGCCAAGCCGGAGGAAGTAGCCGGTCTGACATTCAGCGCTCAAGGACCAAAAGGTGAAGGATGCTTCCAAGCTGCCTCTGACAGTTGCCCTGCCGGACGATGGCGGGTGGTATGGTTTGGAATTGGCAAGGGTGACCTGCTGCTGTTTTCCCCCTAAGGACATATGCCCTCACCCCCAGTGCCACAGAATCAGGCTAACTCCTCTGTCAGGCTGCCATCCCTCTGCACCGTCCAGCCTGCAAAGAGGTGGGGGGGCCTTTCTCAGCAAGAGGAAGATCCGTCAGTGCCATACGTGCCTGCCTGAGGTTACGCTGCGCCGGCAGAGGAATGCCACCACAGGACAGGAACAGCTGGCAGACAGCTTCCTGCAGCACGCTCCTTCCCAGTGCAGCTTGACAAAAAGAATCCCTCCAAAGCAATGGAAAAGGTGTACCCGTCTCCTCTTCCTGCTCCCCCTTCCTCTCTGGACACCTTTGGTCTGTATCTGCTCATTTCTGGTCAGGGGTTCAAGAAGATCCAAGTATTGATCCCAGGGATATTTATTTATAAATCGATAATTAAAGGAGTGATAATAAATAATTCAGAATAAAGCTGAAACATTTTTTCTTGGCACTTCAAGTGACTCCTACCTGGGGAATCTCAGAGCACTTTACAAGTGGTAACTCACTGTGCACCCCAGCCCTGCTGCGATATAATCACTCCCATTTTTACTAGTGGGGAAACTGAGGCACCAGGAGGCAATGTGACATGTCCATGGTCATCGAGAGAGTTGATGGCAGAGCTGAGTATACAACACAGGTGTCCTGACTGACTGTCCCCTGCTCTAACCACCACACCACACTGCCTCTCTTTCGCCATCTGCTCCGTGCTCCTAGTGGATTTCAGTTTGGGAAGCGGCATGTCGGTTTGATGCCTAAAAATGGTATCACCAGCCCCTCAGGCTCGGCATTGACTTGCCGGTGGCTTGGCAGTTCCCTTTAGCCCAGCCAGCTCTCTTTGCTCCTCGTCTCTCTGCTGGGACCTGCTTCCTTCACTCTGCAATGAGAACAGCTGGGCCCTGGGTCCACAAACATGGTGTGGCTGCTTTCAGCACCGGACAGGTCAGAGAAAGGACACATGGGGAGAGGTTGGAGCAAGGCAGCCAGGGCTCAAGGCTAGGGAGAGGGACATATGCAAAGACAGGAGTCTCTCCTCTTGCTAGAACAAACCCTGCCCTGTCCCAGCCGACTGCCACTGAAGTCATTAAGAGTCAAAGGTGCTCCCTGCCAGGAGCCATCCAGCTCAGGGCCCACTTGTTGATGAGGATGCTGGGATGGGGCCACCCTTGCACCTGTTATAGGGTTGGTGGTGCGTTGCAGGCCACAATAGACACTGCACAGCAAAACACAGCTAATGCAGCCAGCCTCCCCAAGCTCTCACTGCTCAGTTTCCCTGTTTCACAGAGGGCATTTTGGGACCCAGGCCATATCCCCACCTCGTCCTGGACCCAGGTGAACTGTAGGCACAATAATACAAACAAACCAAGCTGTTTTCTTCTTTCTCTTCCTCCCCAGCCAGAGAGCCAGGACACTAGAAATGGGCAAGACAGGTTTGCTCATGAGGTCTGTCCCTTTCTGGGGCAGGATGCGGGGCAGATTACACACCCTATTAAACTGATACTATGCTGGACCTTAGCCAAAAAGCCAATGCAAGAGACTCTAGAGATGGGGCTGAACCCAGTCCCAGTGGGTCCAAATGCCCCAGCCCTGTCCAGAATCCTCTCTCTTCTGAGATTCCTTTTCTTTGCACGCTGAACAAACTCCCAGGCGCGTCCACACACACAGACAGCCTCCAGGCTTGGAGAGGTGAAGGATTCCAGACCAGGATCCATTCCCTTTGAGAAAGTTGTCACCTCCATCTCCTTGTTTCGCTCCAGCATCTGGCATCATGCTAATTCTGTGCAGCAGTTACACAACACCTGTCATCCAGATGGGAGACCTCAAAGCGCTCCACAAAACTGGGTCAGCCTCACCAACCCTGCACTATTGGGGATGGGGAAACTGAGGGAGAAAGAGGTGAAGTGATTTTCCCAAGGTCAAGTACAGCGAGTCACTAGCAGAGTGGGCTCTAGAACAGACGTTGAGCCCTAACCATTGGACCATGCTGCCTTCCTTGCTTATGTAATGACTGCTATGGACACATTCTACTAGTAAAGATTTCACTGAGGAGAGAGAAGAAATGAAGGGATAGAACAGTCACTGCAAAAACTGCCCTTCCTAATGACAAAACTTTTCCTTGGTCTCTCCAGATACATGCTATAGACACATGCTTGGTATCTGCGGTGCCTAATTATATATATACACACACACTATACCCACACATTAGTCAGCCTGACAACACATAATTTTTAAACTCTGCATCTAATTTCTTTACACTGATTTACAAGTTTATCTGCGGAGGGCCACCTTTTAACATATGCTCTGCTAAGGGAGCGGCGAGATGTTTAAGCATCAGCCGGCCCTCCAAAGTGACAAAAGCAAACCTGAAGTTGAATCTTTCATTCCTTTGCGTGTGTCTGACTACAAAGCGTTTTCAAACACAATTGAAATGTGCTGCAGTTCACTCGGTAAAGTGGATGCATTGGTTCCCAGGAAATGCTAAAGTGATAAAGTGCCCCTCATCTGTTAGGGGCAGGGAACACCCTGGCCCCAGGTAGAATTTGTCATATTCCTCCCGGATTATTTCCAAAAACACAGCTGTTGAGTTTCTAGGAATGCGACTCCCTCAGGAAAGGAGTAACAGAGATCACACTGGGTTTCAGAATGTGTCATAGCACTGGGGGCACACACAAAAAAGCATGCCCACTAATGCGCCTACCTAAGAGGATACAATATTTTATTTATCACGTAAGCATATTTTGTGGATTGTTCTAACCCAGGCCTGAGGAGCACGGGATGGGAGTGTGTGTGTGTGTGTGTGAGAGAGAGAGAGAGAGAGAGAGATCAAAATGAGGATAATCTCACCTGTGCTGAGGACTTTAAAAGGAAACGCACAAGTGGAAAGTTTTCAAAGTGGAGGGAAGGAGTTTGATAGGAACAAAATTAGTACTTACACATTCTGACGGTGTGATCTCTCTAGCTGCATATCTTAGGTATCTATAGAACACCCATTACGGTAGCATCTAACTATTAACACCTCATCTGGACGATTCCATCACTAAAGCAGGGAGGTGGTATTTATATTTTGATATAATCTGACATTAGGTTTTGGGGGGGGGTGTGTATTATGTGATGATTTTTGATCCAGGTCTGACTGTCCCCTCTGAACATTAAACTATCAGAGATGGGCATCGCCAAACAGTCCCCAAACTTTGGGGAAAGGGGGTTAAGAATCCAGATCCAAACTTCCCAGCTCGGGGCACCTGTGCCTACTAACTCTTTCTAAAAGCCAGAACGAAGTAACACTAGCAAACAGCGAAGCTATCACTGCTCTTTCTAAGAACTGCCATCAAAAATAGAGACTTAATCTGCAGATACATCTACAAAACAGGTGGTTTGAAATCAAAATGGGGGGGGGGCTGTTTTGTGATCACACTCACACTGCATAACTGTCCTGGAATTAATGCTGATAAATACATTCCATTTCCTTCCTAGTGTTGTTTGGGTTATAATTAAGAGTGACTTCTAAAAATATAAGTATTCTAATCCACTGAGAGAGTAAGATGTGAGGGTGCTAATTGAAGACACTTTATAATATCCCATTTTCAGAATAATTTTACTCCACTGGTTCTCACTGAGAGATGATACGGTTTGGGTGGTGCAGTGGCTTTTTCTTTTCTTTTTTTAAAAATAAACCTGGCGGTGGCTTAATATTTCTCTTTTAAAGTCACTCGCGCGGACACAATTGAGTCACAAGCTGGCCACCGTCTCGGACAGACAATTCCGGGGGTTTGGACCCAACGGGCCGAGCGCGCATTGCATAGGCACAAGGAATTTCACAAAGACTGTGTGGAAAGTTCCAAAGCAGAAGCAAAAGGCAAAGTTTCAAAGCCGAAGGTCGGCCTCACAAGCTCAACCGCAAAAGAGCAAGGGTTGGGAGGGACAGAGAGCAAACCAAGCCAGGAATCAGCATCTGGCACACTACTGCAACCCACAGCCAGCCGTTCTCTGTAATCTGCCCAGGACTGTAACCTCTCCAGCAACCTTGGCAAAGCAATCTTAGGGAACCCAAACACCTACAGGGCACTAGAGAGGTTGTTGGTTGCTGCAAAACTTCCCCCTCCCCTTCCCGTGACTATTTTAACACACACATTTTGGGCTGCAAGGGCCAGCCTGTGCAGCCTTCACTGGGTGCTGGAGTGTCCCTGAAACTGCTGTTCCTCCCCCCGCCCCTGCTTTAGGATTAGGCAGAGCTACAGGACCACCGCAGCTGCGTCTCCCTGTCTCTTTCAGGCAGTCTGTTGCTAGAGCAGTCGCTTACCTCTCAGTGCATGGAGAGCCCCAAATCCCAGATCTTATGCTGGAAGTCCTGGCCAGTTGGCTGGTAAGGAACCCCAGGTCTGCGCGGCTTTGGGCCAGGACTGGCGCAGGTAGAGGACCAATCCCTCCATTCCAACCACAAAAACCTTCTTCCTCCCCTCCAAAAATAAAAGAGAGGGTTGGTCCCCCCCCCACAATGTTTCCCCCTCCCCCCCAAAAAAATCCCAACAACCCCCCTCCCTCCCCCCCAAGAGATCCAGCCTCAGGTGAATTGAGCTTCCAACTCTTCCTCGCTCCCTGGAGCGTTCGCCCGCACGGGGGCTCGGGAGGATGCGGGGGGACCCATCACGGGGCAAGTCTCATCGTGTCTCCTGGGGGCGCCGCTCCGCTCCTGCCGGGGACGGGGGAGTTTCTCCGCCGCTCCGCTGGGCACTTGGCGAGCGCAGGCTGGGCGAGGAGGAGGGTGGGTTTTGTTGCCCCTCCTCTCCTGGTGGTTTCCTGGCTAGCGGCTGCCTGCCGGTGCTTTCCCCGCCGTTTGACAGGGGCTGGCTCCCAACCCGCAGCGAGCGAGCCTCGGGCGCCCACCCTCCCTCCTCCCGCGAACGGCAACTCCCCCGACTCCGCCCGGAGACCCGCGCCCCGCTGCCGCCGGTTCGCCTCCCGTGCCCGGCCCGGGCTGGCTCCGCCGCGGCTGCGGGGAAGCAACAGCCGGGCCTGTCATGACTTGGCCGCGGGCCCATGGGAGCCGCCTGGCTGGGGAGGGGCGGGGGAGAGAGCTAGCTCGCCGCCCGTCCCCGTAGCATCTGGGCGCCTTGCGGGAGCAAAGTCCCGAGTGGATTTTCCTGGAGTCTCTGGCTCTGCTCGGGGAAAGGATCGGGGGGGGGGGGTGTCAGTTTGTTGCTTTATTTCTCCCGACTGGGGGAGGAGGTTGATTTCCGACGGGGTTTATTGAGGAGGGGTTGGGGGGGGGCGAGCGGGGGCGTATTTGGGCGGGTCACGGGGCGAAAGGCGCCGCAGACAGGACGGGGGGCCGAGGGGACATTTCTGCAGGACGGAGCCTTTCCCCGTGGGAGGCAGGCCCCGGGCCAGGACTCACACGTGGGCCGGGGGACTTGGAAACGCCGAGATGTCTGTTTGGCTTTGTTTGACTTGTTTGGGGGCTCAGGTCTCCCCCCCCCCCAGGCGTCCTGTCTTTAGTGGTGACTTGCGACACCTGACAGGTAGTTTTGCAAAATTTGCCTAGACTCAAAAATCCAAATGAAATGGGGAAACCTCCCCCTTCCATGGCCTTGCCTGGCTCCCCTCCCCCTATGCTGGACCCCACGCCCCCATCTTTGCCTATTTCCTGGATTTTAAAGCCGGGGGGAGGAACCCGTCTCACTATGTAGCCCACTCCACCTCTTGTGCCCCTAGGAACAGAGCCAGGCCATAGAATTTCACCCACAAATTCCTGCACTGATTAAGTGATTTTCTTCCCCCTCCTTCTCATTTCCACCTTTTTTCTGATTTCACTTTCCTTGGCTTGGTGCCCCCCCATACACCATTCCCCCCCCTTACCCCCTAACCTTTCCACTGTACACCACTCTGTGCAGGATCCAAATGACAGTCTCTCTGGGGTCTGGCGCCATGCTCAGCACCGGAATCCAGCTCCCCCCCCCCCCGTTCCAGCTGTGCCTGAATCAAAGTGACTACACATCTGTCAAGAGTTGTTTGTTCTCTCATCCTCCCCCCAGGAAGGAGCGAGTGCAGTGGAGAGCCTTGTTTGGGTAGGGTTTTTTTTAATGAGTTTATTTTTAATATACATGTTGTGTTTATGTAGGAGAAGGCAGGGTCCCAGAAAGGCACCTTGCACTTGGAGCAGAAGGTGGTGGGTTTCTCAGTGTTCTCTTTATTTCTCTTCTTCCCGTTTATTTCTCCCCTCTCTCTTGTGGACTTTCCCCACTCCTCTACAGCAGCTTATTTACCTTCACCATTTCATCAGAGGTGGGGCATTATAACCCACACCAGCTCAAAACCCTGGGAGAGTCTGGAAAAGTTCAGAGGCAGGGTCAAACTTGGCATCACCAGCTTAGCTCTGATCTCCCTCCACCCCAGCATGCATCTATTTCTCTCTCTTTACTCCGCTAATGCATTCCCAAGGACCAACCCTGAAGTCAGATAATGCAAAGTGTTTCCTGTGTAAAAGCACTTTGAGATCTCTGGATGAAAAGCTCTGTATGGGCCTGATCCAAAGTGAATTGAAGTCAACGGGAGTCATTCTATTGCTTTCAGTGGGCTCTGGCTCAGTCCAGAAGATCTAAATATTGTTATTTATATAATTCAACAGGAGTTTAGCCTAAGTGAGGGGTGTAGGTTTTGCTCCATAATAATTTGCAGAAATAGATCTGAAATAACATAACACAACTGTATGCCATGAACTATATGATGATGAGAGACAAGGTGAGTGCCATTGGACCATATATATATTGGACCGGTAATATCTTTTATTTGTTGGTGAGAGAGACAAGCTTTCAAACTGCACACAGCTCTTCCTTGCGTGATGAACTTATGTACATTTTATGTACCTCATGTGTGCATGCAATTTCAAAATTGCTAAGTAATCTAAATATCAGCATGGATAATGATTGTGAATTATTGCAACTTATGAATTACTATTGGGGTTTGTTAGGTTTTATTAATTATGATTAATATTATTGGGCTTGGATACAAACAATCCTGACCTAGGAGGATTTTCAAAATCCAGATCCAGCTGTGCTTGGAGCATGTCTCTAATCTCTGGGCTAAATTCTGTTTAAAACTTGTTCTACTCACAGTTTTTGAATTCATGTAACTATCTCAGTTAGGGGGATGATTTTCCACCCACTTAGTTAAATTGACACAACCCCAAGGGTGCATGCAGTTAGACTGTTGTAAAGGTTCCTTCTGCCCATACAGTTTAGTCCCCTGTCCTGTGGGAATAAACTATACTGTTATAAGCATCCTTTATACCACTATAACTGCAGCCAGGCTAGGGAGGATTGGACCACTTGACCCATCCTGCAGTACAACGTGTGTGTATAGACAAGCCTTAGAGATACAGACAGCAATGCAGAGTAGCCCCACTGAAGTCAATGGGGTAGAATCAAGAGAGAACACAATGTGGTTCAAGCCCTTTAATCTGGAGGGGGGGTGGGAACCTATTCCCTACAGTAAAACATTTATCAAATAAACCAACATCTCCCCCAGCCCAGTTAGTCTTTCCCCATTTCCCTGGTCATGTTTATTTTTACCTCCCCTTCTCTCCCCCCCCCCCGCCCCTCCTCCCGAGATACAACACAAAGGTCCCCCCCCATTCGCCAGCCGGCTGTTTCACTCTCTCACTTTAACCATAAATATAATTATGTGGCTGGACAACATGGAAATTGGCTACAGGACTTTAAACGATTAGGTCGGAGAGCTGGCGGCAGTCCAAGGCCTGGTGGAAAGAAATCTAGAGAGGAAAAAAAAACAACAACAAAAAACCCAACCCACAGCTCCATATTACCCAACCCTTTTTAGATTTCATTCTCTGCTTTCATCATGTTATTACTTCCCCCCTCCCTGCAGCAAGCCCAGCCAGGCTCTCCGCTGGGTCTCTTGACAGCACTTTAAGGCTGTTAGAGCAGGACATTTCTCCGGCTGAGGGACAATCAATAAAATCCTTGGACTTTTCTCTTATGTAATGAGACGCCCTTTCAGCTGCACTCGGGAAAGCATGGGGAGTGCTCAGCTGCCACATAAAGCCCCCGGTGGCCTCAAGTCACCCCCTGTCTGTGGGGTGCTGGGGAGTGGCTGATAGACAAATTCCAGTAACGGGGGGGTGAGGACAGCCGGGTCCCACCCTGCAGGACTCAGCACAAAGGGTTAAAGGCATATGGCAAAGCCAGGATGAGCCTGGCAGGAGGGATCCGAGTAGGCCTGATGTTCTCGCTTTCTTCCTCCCTCGCCCGAGGATACATGGGGACGGGGACAGCCTCCAGCCCCGCACAGGAGTGTGGCTGCACTTTCTGCTCTGGCAGTGGACCCGGAAGCAAAGGTCTGCGATTCAGCTCCCTGGACCCACCCCTCAGCCACAGGAGTGCACATCTGAGCCCCAGAAATCTAGCGTGCCGCTCCCAGCTGGTAAAAGCAGCCAGGCCGACTCCGGTTAAAGGGACCGTGGCTGGTCATGGCAACTGCCTAATGGTTCTGCAGCCAACTAATCGGTGACCAGCCAGCACCCTTCCTCTTCATCAGTGTGCAGGAGGATTCAGTGGGGACCACTTTCCCCCAGAAACCGGGCAAGGCCCTGCGTCCCCCTCCTCATCACCACACCCCAGGGCACATCACATCACATTACAGCAGCTCGGTCTCGCCTTGAGACGCTCATGATGGCCTCATCCGGTCCCATTAAGGGGTGAGCGTGCCTCACGCCGATCCCCCCCCTTCACATTCAGTCTGTGCTCGGCGCGGAGCAAGCCAGCACGCAGCTAGTCCTGCCAAATTTCATAAAGACGGATGGGCCAACTGGAGGGCTGCTGCTTACAAATCCAGGGCTGGCATTGCACTAGTGTCACAGATACCAGGGGTGGAGGGGCAAGAAAAATGCAAGAAGTTGCTCAGGCTACCCAAGTGCTGTGCGTTTACAGAGGGGACGGCCGCGAACCGAGGAGATGGCTCGATGGGGTCGGCAGCCCGGTGCGGAGCAGGAGGCGTGCGTGGGCGAACCCACCCCAGGAACGGGGGGCGGGCTTAGGGAAGGAGTGATCGTAGGCTCTAGAGACACAGGACATCCTGGGAAGACGCTGGATAGTCCAGATCGTCGGTCACTTTCTTCTGAGGACTCCCCTGCCGCGCTGGTCATTTCCTTCCCCGTCCCCTGGCTGAAAAGCGGCTGCAGTGCCAGGCCACTTGTTCCCTACCTCCCTCAGGGGCGGAGCGTGCTGCGTCCAGAGGGCTGGTGGCCTGGATTTTCCCTGGCCTGGAAGCACAGAGCACTAGCCACATGGCTGGGGGGCAGCCTGGTATTTTCAGCAGGTGGCTACAGATCCATTTTTAGAAGGTGCCTCAAGGGTGAGGGTGCTGGAGATCAGGCCCTCTGCTGAGTTCGGTGTTGCCAGCTCTCGCTGTGTCTCAGGGAGTGACAGGATTTCAGGCCAGGCGGGTGCCTGGCTGGCGAT